TCATCGATGATCACATTACTTTTAAAATCCTGATCTAACATCACTCAGAGTCTTGGCAGGCGCTTGATTCGATGACAAAAGCTAGCGCTGGCTTTTAATTGTCGCCATCTGCCTTTTCAGGCCTCATTAGAATGGCGTTCGATCGGACCGCGATACGCCGCTTCCTGCCTCTCTCGCAGGGAAATTCACGAGCATTCAACTTTTGGCCTGCTTTCAGGGCTGTGGATATCATATCAAATTAAATTCGTTAATTAACATCCTTCGGGGGTGAACAATTAAACATAATTTCAGAATCGACCTCAGTTGACTTAGCAGGAAAAACTCGACGCCAAGAGCTCTGCTGTGTTTTACCCATATATTCCAACATGCTAGGACTCAAGCAGCGGCAGGAGGTGCGGTTTTGGCTTGCTGTGGAGGTTTGTCTGGTGTGACACGCTGCTCTATTATCCCAGAATAGAACACTTGAAGCTAATTATCGCTGTGTGAGCACAGTGGGCCCTAAGGGGGCTGGTTCCTCAACTTTAGATGTGTGAGTAATGTAGAGGAAGGTTTCAGCTAATCTCTAAAGAACTGACGCTCCGATACAGAGCAGCAGTATTTCGTGATGCTCAGCACAGCCAAACTGGGCCACAGGCGGGCGGGAGTAAATATTTGTTTGCTCGTACTTACTTACTGTAACCAATTATTCAAACCGCAAGATTAAGCAGGTTATAAAAACAGAGAAATTAGTAATGCATTAACGTTATTGGAGCTCAACATATGCAAAACAATTTAATGTAAAACTACAAATGTGCACATGTGTTCACCAGTTCATTTATTGGTTTTGGTAAAAACATGGAATAAATCCCACGTGTTATTGTGCGGGCGTTGCCCATTTCACATACAAATGGGGATAGGGAGCATAAAATTACATATAAAAGGCCTGAAACACTCTTATACAAGCTCAATTTTGTGCTACACTGCATTATACTGTAAATGTGCCTGATGGCAATTCATAACTCAATGCATTTTCTGTGTGGCCACAAGAGGTGCTAATAATTTTGCTGATAATTTACTCACCCCCATGTCATCCAAGATGTCCATGTCTTTCTTTCTTCAGTCGAAAAGAAATTAAGGTTTTTGATGAAAACATTCCAGGATTTTTCTCCATATAATGGACTTCAATGGGAACCAAAGGTCCAAAAGACAGTTTCAGTACAAACTGCAAAACTGTTCAAAGGGCTTAAAATGATTCCAGACGATGAATAAGGCTCTTATCAAGAGAAGCGATCGCTCATTTAATAAATAAATAACAAAGTTTAAGTTTTATGAGCTCAAATGCTCCCCTTGCTCGTTCTGTGACGCACATTTGTGACTCTCCTGTTCGAACTCGTTCATCAAAATGAACGAATCTTTCTCCTAGTCATTTGGTTCATTCCACGATCGAAACTAACGAATTGACTCTGAAAAAGACTTGTTGATTATTAAAAATAAAAGGACTAAGGATGTAAGAGATTATTATTGTGTACATAAAGATATGGCGGAATCTACGTCGTCCCGGTCTGCTTACACACTTTAACCTCTCGTTTGTGCTCTGGAGACTTATTCAGTCTTTCCACTATACAATTCCGTCATGTAACTGCAAAACTGTTACAACTCATTAAGAGAATAGGGACCACTTGAGACCATGACCATTTGTCCCGTCTTTAAACTAGCAAAAGTGGATTCGGACACGCCCTGTGTAATTTTGTCAATATTTTCAATCGATTCCCCTGAAAAATGTAAATTTAAACAAACATGCGTTAAAAAACGAGACGAGGGAAGGAGAGGGAGTGTGTATTCGAACTCTCTCTCATCCAAGATACAGAAGACCTCTGACTGGTAAACCTTTTCAAGAGCTCGTTGTCCAACGCAGGCCTACTGTCCACCTCGCTTGTGTGAAAGAGCAGGGATGATATGCTTTTAAGCCTCATTACTCCAAGGGTGAAGAGCGTTGGTGGAGTAGTGCTGCGCTGACCCTCACTTCCATTAGCATAATTGCATTTCAAACGATCGGGATGTCCAAGAGACAAAACTATCAAAACGCTCTGACGCGTCGAAAAGAAGAGAGAGCCCAAAGTAATGGAGGATCCTCCATCTCTCCGGGGAGTGACGTCGCAGCCTTCCAGCCCTTCTGATGCTCTTCGGCTGCTAGTTTTAGTTTTCCTCTCCATCCATCTGTCCATCCGTGTTCCCTGTCCAAACCGTCTTTCCGATGGAGTGTATTCTCCCACCAACTGTCCAATTATCTCCCAGCCTCCCTCTGTGATGCACGCCTGCTGACCGGTCGCAGTTTTGTCCGTAGAGCACCATCTCTTTCTGTTTTTTTTTGCCGGTGCCTCCATCTTTCTTTCTCCCGGAGAGTGATTGTGATAAATGGATCCAGAGGTGTGTCTGTGGGTAGGGCAGCTTTTTCCCAAGAGCTCTCAGCCATCAATCAGGCTTGTCTCCCGAGTCCAGGTGTCCATAAACATGCGCATAAAATAGGATTTTTTTTTTCAGCAGGTGGTAGTCTGTCCTTGGAAGGAGAAGAAAGTCAAATTGGCACACAGTATATTAGAAACATGTCGCTTATGTCCCACAGGACGCAGTGTTTACAGTTATCTGACAGTCGTTTAAAGACCAGCACAGTCCATCATTTTGTCTCGAAATTGCTGTGAAGGAAAACAGCAGGCCGTTCACATTATGGCCATTGTGCCTCGTTTTGTACAGAGACGCGTGCGGGATTTGCTGGAAATATTGTCCAAAAGGAGCAAGTCACGAATAAAAGCCCAACGATGTTGTTGCAATACAGTTGTGAACTGTTGACTTTGACATTTCTGTATCTCTGATCAAAACCGAATCCCTAAACCTTACGGCTTTGTTCCAGGGAAAGGGCAGCTGGTTTTGAAGCTGCTCATAAACAACATATGCTGTGAACAATCCCGCAAACCCTAGAGGCAAATCTAACCTTGAGGCTCTGAAGCAGATGTTGGAATAGAAAATACTGGAGAAAACCTGATTATAGCCGCTTTGGAAATTTGACGGCATCGACCGGCAAACTTTTTTTTTTCTTTCTCAGTGATACGAATAAAGCGTACAGGTCCATATCCACCTTATAATTTAGCTTTAAAAATCATTAATATGCCGATCTGGCTCTCAAAAACTCTCTGCTTAATGTCTTTAAAATGCATTAAATTGATCAAAATATACAGTTTAAATATTTCACTTTTGATTTTTATATGTTGAGTATTTTTATACTGACTGACCCCAATAGAAAATAGAAAACCGGATGATAGCTGCTCTGCAAATATGATGTACATGCAGCATGGCATCTACCAGCAAATTTGATTCTTTGGTGGTAAGAGTGAAGTGCACATGTCTATACATTGTGAATTTTTAATAAACCTTCTCCAGAGGGTTCTTTTTTATTGTTGGATGTTAAAATTTCATGTCACGTTATTACAGCTTTCAACTGAAAATTTCAGCTGAAAACAATGCATTTTTAATGGGAATTCTCAAACTGAAAAGGCATTGAGGTGTAAACATCATCTTGTGCAAAGAGCAGAATTTATGATATATATGAGCCTTTAATTTCACGCACATTATGTTGGTCACATGAAACACTGAGAAAAAAAAGCTGATTGAAGGTCGGCAGTAAGAGTAAATCTGTGGTTTGTATCTTAGTTGCTGTGTGCAATAACAAACTAAAATAGACTCCATGAGTATATTCACTGTGAAGGTGAAACCTCCCCTCAATGCCAGAGACGTGATAGATGGATAATGACAGATCCAATGCAAAAAAAAAAAACATTCAAACCAACAGCACAGCTGACTATTATGGAATGGCACAGGGCCAGGTGTCCATACACACATTTACATTCAGACTCCATCTATATTTCAGCATATACTGTGGGCGAGAAAGAACCATAAAGTTCACTACCCACAGATCGGTATGCATTTTGAATTCATCTCCAATTCATTGTCACTTTTTAAATATAAAACCATTAAAGAGATTTTTTTCAAATGTTTCTATGTTTTTAAAGTACCAAGGCTGTATTTACATATTGAAATATTAGCACAATTCAAAATAACTCTTTTCTATTTGAATACATTTTTAAAATATCATTTATTCCTGCAATGGCAAAGCTGAATAGTCAGCATTGCTCTAGATTTACTGCTCCTGATTATTGTCAATGTTGAAAATAGTTAATGTTTTGTGGAATTGGCAAGACATATTTTCTTTCATCAAGTATTCTTTGATGCATTAAACATATTGATTTAGATTAATTTGTTTGAAAAAACTGTGAAAAAAAAATGTTCAATGTCTTTAGCGTCACTTTTGATCAATTAAAGTATCAATCCGTATTATATCTATACACACATACACACACCGGCATATATTTGATGTAAATCTGTGACAATCAAATTATTCAAGTGTGTAAGATTACATTTTACAAATAAGTAATTTTTGTCTTTTAATTGTACAATGCATAGCCCTTTCCTGCTAGTTCATTTACAAAAAAACTTTTCTGATTAGTTGTGGTTTCCATTTTCAGATATGACGTTAATAAAAATGGTGTGTTACTGCTATCTACAAGGTAAAACATTTCCAAGGATGTCATTGTGTCTCATTCAGCAACAACACTCTCATTTCGGTCATTTGTGTAATTAGGTTGCTTTCTCACTCAGTAAATCAACCAGTGAGTCTACCATCATTAGACATCACCTAGCAGCCCGTATGCAAATGTAATCTGTAAAAACAGCGTATTTATATTTGTAAAGTACTCTGTAGCTTTTGTTCATCTCAGCAGGTGTTTGGAGGAGCTCTGTTTTTATCAAAAGATGTTTAGCACATTTTTATAGAGCCTCTAACTGGTTTTACTTTACATATCAAACTCTAGGCCTACTTTCAGTGTTCAAGCCTCTGTAATCAAGCGTGTTCTGCCTTGTCACGATCAAAAACGGCTGGGTTTGTAGTGAGTAAACAGTGTTGCACTAACCGGTCTGCTAAGGCGCAGAGTTGTTTGCTTCTCCTCAGACATGATCATTTATCCAATGCGTGATAGATGTGAGACAGCTCTGAACCCCGATTTGCCGCGTTGCAGAATCCACCCATGTAGCTGAGGAATAACATCCTCCATCTCGCGCTGTCGGCACGCCAGACTGTTTGGCCTGCGGGCGATGTATTAAATGGTATATTGATAATTGAAATCTTTTCGGCTGACTCCGTTTTGCTGACAGAGCTCTTTGGAAGCAGATGGCCTTCATTACTCAAGGGTGTAGGTTGCTTCGCGGGGACACGGATCCAGCCTGTTCCCCAGCTCCGATACTCACTCAAACATGGACCCTGATAGGAAAGAGGAACAAACAAGTAAAGTGTCCAGTCAAGTGTAAAAGAAAAGAAAAGATAAGCTCTCAAATCTTTCAGAACACACTGCGACCGATTGGTGCAGGTTCTCAGACCCTTCCATGTGGTGCAACTTCTTGTCATTTCAGGACTGGATTACCGCAGTGCTCTACTGGCAGGCCTTCCAGCATGTGACACTAAGCCTCTGCAGATGATCGAGAATGCGGCAGCACATTTTCAATCAGCCAAAGAGAAACCCATTTCACATCCTTCCTGATCTCACTCCACCGGACCGTTGCGGCCACAATCAAATTTAAGATTGTGACGTTGGCTTTCAGAATTGCCACTGGAACTGTACCTTCCTAAATTAAAGGGATACTCCACCTCTGGAAAGATGAATGTGTATTTAAAATGGGGCAATTATGTAGAAGAAATGTGAAATTATTTTTGAATTCGGAGCTTTCTAGACTGAGAAAACCAGAAAATGTATTTTTGGATTATGTAGATTAAAGACAACAACTCCCAGAAGGCACTTGCTTCACTGCCTTAGGAGGCCACGCCTACCGGTAACAGAGAACAGTAGAGAACAACAAGTCTAGGCTACTAGTGAGTCTCCGTGATGAGTCTGCGCGAAAATGTGTTTCGAGATCGCCCAAAATGTCCGGGATTCGGCTTTTGCGTTCTACAGTCGCCATTCATCATGTTTACTGTGGCGAGCGGGACGAGGGAGAACGGCGCGAGGCCGGTGGCGTGATTACCGATGAGCGACACCTGTGAGACGCACCGGTCTCGTATCTCTCACGGAGGAGCGGGAATTTTCTTAGCAATGTTTAAACGCAACATCAACCGATCACTTGTTTAGCGTTCATGTAAACACTACAGTCAGATTCACCAATCAGAATGAATTCTGTTAGACTGAAACAAAAGCTGTGCATGTAAACAATGAATGGCGACTGCAGAAAGCAAAAGATGAATCCCGGACATCGACGGCCGGACATGTCCGGGAAAAAGAGGATGGTAACCCCTAAAGTTACTACTCAGCTTTCTCCACAGAACAAGAACCTGCTAGCTTAGCTTCCAAAAAAAGATGGCTGACACTATGTGTAATCCCAATCCTCCATAATGCATCCGTCTGCGTATTCAGTACCTTCAACCTTATTTTCAAAAAGTTTCTGCCGGTGAAATAAAACGCACTGGCACTGATCTGTGACAGGTCAGCGCATTAGGTCCAACCCCCTATGGGCGGGTTTGTAAGGGCCATAAAAAAATGAATAAAATGATTACTAAAATGTAAGCTAAAATGAAAATAAAAATATATAATATAAAAAAAAATCTAAATATGAATTAATACTGTACATGTAAACAAAGTCAACTGCAAAAACATATTCACAAAATATGATTCTTATGAGTAATCTAATTCACAATCCAAAAATAAATTGAATATTTATGAAATATATGACTCACAAAGGTGTATTCAGATTGAAGAAAATATGATTCACAAATGCAAAACACAATTAATTGATGCACAAGATATTTTTTTATTTTATTTTTTACATTTATTCAAAAATGGTTTGTATTATTATTAACAATCAATGCATACATGTTAAAAAACATTAAAAACTATTTGCATAGTGAACCATGTTTTTTAATGTGAAATTGGTTACACATTTGTGAATATATATATATATATATACTGTATATATATATATATATATATATATATATATATATTAAATATATGCATTTTATTCTGTAAATGTTAATTAGGTTATAAATCAAGTTTTACAAAAAACAAACAATGTGCAAAATTGCACATGCAAAACAGTGTAATACTCACCATGTTGACAAACGTATTGGTTCGGACCTAAAAATACAAGATGAAAAGAGACTCATTCCCATCCCAGACCGTATTCCCCTCAAACTCAGCTTCACCCAAAGTAAACTATTTAAAAGGCACAGCACTTTAAAATAACTGTTCCTTGTCATTTCTTTGATTTACAGAGTCTCTCCTTTAGCGTTGTACTGGATGCAGTAAAAACAGCGATAAAGAAAATGTCAAGCAAACTGCGTCTGAAGGACAAACATCAACAATCTATTTTCCTACCCGAATGTCCTCAAATCATCCGCCACACACAATCCCAGTGGCCATTTCACCTCTGCCCTGAATCACAATGCTGAGTGAACAGATCACAAGAAAATAGGACAAGTGTGACTATCATAAGACTCAAATCTGGAAATGAACACAAGCCTGCAGCAACGTCTGGCCCCAATTACCTCCTCCAAACAAATTTGCCGTTCACATTGTTTGAAGCACTGCTGCGATGAGCAATAATAAAGCATTCTTCTAGTTATATTGAGCACTTACTCACCATCAAGTGACACTCACTCAAAGGCAGGAAATGGAGTCACAACACAGCTTTTCATTACTGCTCAGTAGTACACTAATTGACCCTTCGCGTCGAGCTTGATTGACAGGTGATCTGACCAATCATACTGCGCCATCTGCCATTTTGTCTGACAAAGCAGTCAGGAGAGATAGATTAACATGAGAGGATTTGAACTTGAAAAACGCAATGTACTGATGCCTTTCCGCAGTTAAAACCACTTTCATTCTTATGTTCATTCATGTTTATTTGATGCTATAAATGAACTGGAAGGAAGAGATGATCAGATCATGAGCAGCTTTAAAGGGATCGTTCTAAGGGGGACGGGTATTTGTGAAGGGTCAATTGGTCAGCTTTCCCACCTTGTATCTCAGTGAGATCCACTCTAAAGTCTCTTCTCCACGAAGATATAAACATGCCATATTTGGTGCTTCATAATTGCAATGCCCACCAGGGTGAAGTTTACGTTCATTTCATAGCTGCCTGAACAGAGATCAAAGTTAACGTCCCGTCCTAGACCGCTGGTAGACTGGAGAGACGCATGCGATGAACATCTCTAAAGCGCAGAGTCACTTTGAAAGGCTAAAATGAAGCAAGTAGCAAACACTCAGTGAAAATGCTAGGTCAGAGTGGTATCGGATTCGGTAATTATCTGTTTTCGTTGGAAAGGCTGGAATCGACGAGCTTACGCTAAAGTCGAGTGACTTTGCTAGCATACATAATAAACAGCCCACCTCAAGGAACTGAAAGGGACATGCACAAGTGAAAATATAACTTTCTTTCTTCTTTGTAACAAAAAGAAGACATTTCTTCCTTGGCATCCAATGTTGTTTGGACCCCATTAACTTTCATTATATGGGCAAAAACCTATTTTATATTCCATTGAATAAAATAAATCATGCCCGGAACAACAAGAGGCTGAGTAAATAATGGCATAATTTTGACTTTAATGGCGAAGTATCCCAATAAGATTACTTGCTCACAAAGTGCAAACATTTGAATAATCATCCATTTGCATTTCCTGCCACCAAGGGTGTAGAAATGATCTGAAAAAGTGGGTGGGAACATTTTCACATTGATCATGAATATTAATAAGGGACATGACATTCAATAGAACAGCTTCTTCTTGGTTTCTAAAGCTTTCTTTTTACATGCCAGGCTACAATTACCAAGCAAAATGTTATGATTACTTACCGAAAGTAGGGGAAACGTTCTGCCAGAATTTGGATTTGTAAGTTCCGGGAGTCTGGAAAATAGTTCCCTTTCCTACAGTCATTTAAAAAAAGTTTTTGGTTCGTAATTCACGCTGCAGTTATCATTTGTGGCATCACATCACTTTAACGTCTGAGAGTGTGAGTAAACATTGGGATAGCAATGTTATTAGCCCATTTATTTTAGCAAGGAGGCACAATTCCAATTCCCGTCATCTACCCTTGAGATATCATGGAGCCCGGTTGTTTATGAGCCCACCCAATCTCCAGGAAAGTGGCAATGTGAGAGATTCGTGCAGATGGCAATGAACTGTGTGCTTTGCCACGATGAAAAGAGAGAAGGATGCAATCTCTGGAATGATGGCTGGCTACGACGTTGCCCAATATGCTTCACTTGGGTTAAATTTACAGTCTCTGTGTCTTCCACCAACGGCTTGGGAAGAGAGGCTGTCCACAATTTCTCTTCTCACTGCTCAATTCTACCCCTCCCTCCCTCTTACTCGCTCTGAGACGTCCTTGGGAGCAAGCGTACTTTTATATTTCTCTAGAGATGTTTTTAAATATACCGCTGTCACTGTTGGTCTGCCAATAATACCCTTTTTACCTGTTCATCTATCATCGGTGACATTGCAAGTGGAGGATCTGCATTTTGTTGTAATAGCAGACAGGTCTGCCGACGCAGAGCATGTCAGGATTTATCAAGATGAATCAAAGGCTTCTCGACTCTTAAGTGCTCTACTGGGGAGTCAAATGGGGCGTCTGTGCTAGGACGGGACCCCGGGATACTAAGATTTGTCTACAAGCAGAACCTAAATAGGCAGAAACAGGTTTAAAAGTTTTAGCATCAAGACTGGCTATTGAAAACTTTTGCAGGATATGAGACACTTTACAATATTAAGTAGTAAATAAATGAATTTATGCCCTTAATGCTGAGTGCAATTCACATACTATCCATCCTAAATAGGATTCACAATTAGATTTAGTGTTCCAAATCTTGATGACATCCAAAAACTTGGACGTGGCTGTGGTAAAAACAATATAAATACTGTTCGTTTTCTCTTTACGAGTCATTAAATCATGTTTAATTTGGACTTCTCTGTGCATGCTCTTTGAGGTGGTGACCATAGACCTCCATTATATGACTGACAGACAAGAACGGCTTGACCTAAAAATATCAAGTATTTAAAATATCAAAAACGAATTTCAAAGTGAACTATCCCTTTAAGTTTAGATAAAGGCGGTTGAGTGATTAATTATCAGTATCTAACCTAACGAAAATATATTTATTCAATGTTATCCACATTATATTTCATCTGAAACATGCATTGTGAACTTTTATAAAGATACGAATGACATTATGAGAGTCTATGAAAGACCCACGACTTGCAGACCAACGTGGTAATACATTTATCTCCAAAACGGTAGGAAATGTAATTAAATTTAACGTAGAGGATTACAAGATGATTGACAGGGCAGTGTAAGCGTTGACAGAATGCAAGTAACTAAGCGACAGAGCGGTCTGTTATGACGAAGTAGTATGTCCTAAAACTTACCTAGGCCTACTCTTCTGATACACACTCTTCTTTACAAAAACTGTGCATACTTTTAGGGCACAGTATAAGTAGGCGAATTGAGATGCAGCATTAGTGAGAAAAAGAATCATGATACATGATTACATTGATTTTTTTTTTTTTACTAGTACACTCTTAGAAGAAATGGTTCTATTTAGAACCAAAAATGGTTCCATCCCCCGTTTCATATATGGAACTCCAAAATGGTTCTATATAGAATATATATATATTTTTTTTGGTAAAAGGTTCTATTGGCCAAGTATGGAACCCCAGAGGAACTCTTTTTTAAAGAGTGTATAGAACCTTTTAGGGGTTCCAAATACGTAGCGCTGATAGAACCTTTTAAGGTTTTACATAGAACCTTTTCATCTAAGAGTGTGTATTAAAAAATATGATAAAATATTATTATTAAAATGAAAATCTAACTGAATTTCCTTTAAGGTGTGTGTTCTCTCTAATCCTTTGAGAAAAAAGACGACACCCTGCCAACTCCCAGCATCCCAAGGTTCACCTCAATTGGTGTAAATGGTGCCACAAAATGTAGAATGACAATGATAAAATCATTTACCATCACAGTTTAATGGCAAACGGAACAGAAAAAGGCAATTACTTGCAATGTGAAAATGACTTACCCTGTTTATTCACAGAGTGTTAGCAGACCTCATTTATCAAAACAGGAGACGTTTCAGTGTGCTGTTCCAGTGCAGATATGAGTGTCACTGAAGCACTGCAGTAACAGCCATTCCCCCGGGACGACATCTCATGGGAGGGCATATGTACGGAGCAGCACGCTTTCACTGCCCAATGAGCAATGTCGACCTTTCATGAAATGCACAATAAAACGTCTAAATGGCATTTAAGGCTGTTGAACCCAGAATGAATGCCTGGAAATCTCTCCCACAGCCAAATTTTGTCCTTTAACACTTAACAATGTTTTGTAAGGAGATTAAGAAAGTGGTCCCCGGAGGGCCCCGGTTAGGGTGAATCATGACTACATAGACAAGAGAAGCCTTTTCAGAGAGCCCCGCTTTCAAAATCATCACATCTATGTTTCATAAACCTGTTTTACATGACAGCACCGCTGCGTTTGTCCTGCTCGATTGTTCACCGCAGTCAATGGAGAACGCCTACGAGCTCTTTTGATGAAAGCCGCGCACTGAACTGAGGAACTCAAGGCCAAACGCACATTTCAGTTCAAAGGGACATGCCGTTCAATTAGGATCTTGGCAGAAAACTCAAGAAAACCATTTCATTTTCACTTGAGGTTTTAATGGTTTCTTGTTTCTGCATCTCATATGTAGCCTGATTTATATTGCACATGCATATACTGTATTTATCCTGAACACAGAAAAAATATTTTCATGATTTGCTATTACAACATTATTTCTTTTCAACAAGTCAAATCAACTTATTATTATACTTTAGTTCAGATAACATAATATTTTGAGTTTCTGATGATTAAATCAATCACCTTCATTGTATTAAATCAATTTTTCCATTTCAATGAACTTAAATTTTTAAGGCAGCCATGGTTACTTAATTGTTTAAGTTGCCAACAATATCTTTTTTACCAATCTAATCTATCATCCACATTTTAGTATTTAACCTTAAATAAAATAAGATGCTCTGGGTGTTTTTAGCGCATTGCTAGCATGTTTAAGGAGAACATCAGACAATTTCTGGT